ACACAAAAAACTGTTGGGCATGACTTGACAAATGAACAAGGGCAACGTTGTGCTCCAGAAGCCCACAGCAACATCCAGCAGACTCATTCACTGAGAAATCTGGTGGAGTGTGGATGTTTTCCCTTCCTCCCTTCCTTGATTATAAAGGCAACTTGCCAGAAGCTTGAATGGAAGCCTGATCTAGCTTAACAGAAAAGCCAGTTATTAAGTCCAGTGACTTCTTCTGGAAGGAGAATCACTGGATGGGCAGGAGAAAAGTAGCAATTTAGCATTATGATTCATTTGTATTGCAATTTTTAGTAAGTAAGTGAGACTCGCAACAAAATGTTCTAGTACGCCCCCTCCTTCCAGTCCACAGTTCAAGACAGGGTTTCGTCCTAAGCAGTGTATTCCATTCTGCCTTTCCACCATTTCCCTTTTCTAATTCTCATGTTACATTCCATGCCTACAGAACACACTCAGTCCTTAGTGAGCTGGTGGGAGAGCAGGGAAGGACTGCTCCCTGAGTGCCTCTGATCCTGGAGGTAGCATATAGCCATGTGACTTTTTGTCATGAAGAAATTTGTCCTCCCTTAAATGGTTAGATCCCCATCTGAAGTCATTGGCCACCACTGCTTCATTTAGCAGCAAATTCTGTAAATTAAATACAGCTCATGTGAACAGCCTGTTAAAAAGTAGGTGGGATGTCAAGCTGTTGTCATTGAAGGTTGCCTTGTACAAATATCACACAAGGACTGTAGTGTTGTGAGGACACATTCTGCCTCATTATATAAGGGATGCCTCCAAAATTCAAATACCTGCTCAGAGTAGCCTTTGACCTATCACTAGTGCTCAAACTCTCTTGCTTCACACAATTATTGCCAAGAGGGTAACATGAAACAAGGTTATATAGTCCCTCTTTAGAAATCAAAACCACATGAAGGAACAATGGAGAAAGGAAAGGAGTTAAAGGGACAACAATCACAGCCTTCATCCCTTTACAAGACTTTGTAGCTATCTGAGGTTCTCTGCCGCTGCCTTATTTAAAAAGGAAAGTTTGTTCTGACACCGCAGCCGCATAGTGGATTTGCACGGTGCCCAAGGTCAAAGCCTGCAGCTCTAAATCTTATCTGAGCAGGAAGATGGAATTAGGTTGGCCGGCATTCCTCCCCACCACCGCTTCTGCTGATGAGATACTCTGCAACCCTCATCTTTATTCTATTTCCTACACGCCATTAGTCACGTAGGGAGCACTTGGACAGTAATAGCGCCTCACAGCAGGCTATTCTAAAAGGGTGCAGAACACAAGCTTGACTTATTGCGAAGTGTCCTTGGGATCAGCAAAGGGTGGTTCCAACAGGAATGGGTTAGCTCTTCCCCTCCAAGAGAAGGCAGGGCCAAAAGATTGATACAGGAAACTCCCCAGTCACAGGACTTGACTTCAGCTGTGTCTTAAACGCATAGATCGCTAAAAACTTGCAGGAAAACAACTGTGAAAAGATAAAAGCACTCGAGTCACAACCCAGTGAAAAATGTGACTTGCCCACAAAAGCAGGACCAAACAAAAGAAAGAGAAAAATGAATCCTAGGACACTTTAGCTGCCTAGTGGGGAACTGCAGAAACATTACACAGAGATCGCCACCCGTTCAGAGACACCAAAAACAGACAAAGCCTGAGCCAAGGCAGAGACTGCCAAGTCCACCCTCCACTGGTCAGAAGGACACTTCATGGTAAGTTTAACTCGCTGGTTTTGTCAGCCAAGGATGGAACTGAAAGGTAAGGGATGTACAATAGCAGTATCTCAAGAACAGAGTGAGAGCACGATAGCTATGATAATCTTTGCAATGCCCAGTGCCTGAAGGAAGCATATTTATCAATCCTGTAGTGATGCATAAAGCTGCAAGCTTTGCCGAACTAGGCTAAGTCCACCTGAGTTCTCTGCCCAACCTTCCAAATTGGCTTCCATTTTGAGTCAGCTTCTTAGGGGGGCTCCTTGGGAGACTTGCCAAGGTCGGAACTACCAAGACAAGGACCAAACCATCCATGGCAATAGCGACAGTGTGACATCCTTGCTGTAAGCAACGTGGGCAGAGCCCACTGCAAAGGATGGAAGTCTGGCCCAGGGCAGACTTGATGGAGGTTATCATGAACACATGGAGTCATGCCAGACTTGGGGCTTCGGTCACAGCAATGCCCTGGCTGCAGGACTGGGTTTTGGCTGCCTTTCCCTCTGAAAGGAACGTTGTTTTCGCATGCGTGTCTGCATCACCCACAAATGCTGCATCCTTGAGCTTTTGCTCCTGCTGACAGTGCAGTGGTAGTTGATATGTGAGACAGTGCCTGTCCCCTAATCAGTGCTCTGATAAAGAGGCCGTCCATATAAGGGTATGGGGGGGGGGTCCCTTCTTGGTGAGGTGACTCAGCAGCAGCTTCCCCAGAAGAGCTTCACTGGGCCTCTGTCAGAAGCTGGCACATGTGCAGCGGGGTGGAGAGACTGTGCAGGGTGAGAAAGACGGCTATCTTTGGGAGGCTTGCCTCCAACATGGCTGCAGAGAAGTTTGCTGCACATGGTCTCCCTCCTGCTCGCTTAGAAACATGCCCAACTTCAATGCTTTCCTTGGTTGGAGAGGCAGTGGTGGCTGTCAGGATCAAAGCTTGATTCACCCTGCAAGTGCCAGCAGGACCAGGAATGCCCTTGCGGGAAACAGCTGAGTGGCAACGATGCAGGGCAGCCAAAGCCCGGAGAGGGGCATGAAAGGCTTCCCCGCACCGCTGCTCCTTGCCACAGCAACATGAGCTGTCCTGGTGGCTCTCTTGCCCACTAGCTTCCAGCAGAGCCTTACCGAAATCCTTGTGCCTCCTCTCTGTACTCCGGCCCAGCTCCAGCCTGTTGCTGCACCCATCCTCGTCTCCAGTCTGACCAGGTATGTGTGCCCATTCTCTTTGATCTCGCCTTGAACCTGAATGTGACTGGCTTCCGAGTACCTGACCACTGCACTGTGTGTTTGCCTGAACCTTCTTGCCTCACTGGCTCTTGACCTCAAACTGCTCCAAGAGGGCTTCTTGCCTCCGGCCCGCCAAACCCAGTGCAAACCTCCACATGGTGCTGGCACCCTGGTCCCGGTGTCTTGGCTGTAGCTGCCTACTGCCGATGCCCTGGACCTTACAGTGGCAAAGCTTCGGGTTCAAATCAGCCTTCCTCTTCCCCAGGAGCGATGACAGAAGCAAGGAGCACCAACTGGTCAGTGCACCATCAGACTCGTGCCTGGCATTTGGGGAGTGGCTGCCCTGCACTTCCTTCCAGAAGGCAGAGCAAAAGGTGGATGTGGTTTCACATCTTTTATTTAATCGTGACTTCTCATGGAGAAGAGTTAATCTTCTCTGTCAACTCCACCCACATTGACCAAGAAAGACACTTTAAGCCCTGGTTTGTTGTTTGTCAGCCATATTTTCCAACTTCTTAAGAAGGCTTAATTGACAGGGAAACACAAGACAGAGCTGAAATTGTTATTTGTGATGGAGAATGTAAATTTCCTTTCAGGATTAATTAGTCAATTGCCCCAGGGCTAAACATGAAATCTAGCAAGCTTATGCAATTCTTGCTTGGTCCTGTGGCTTTGAGATGGTAGCCCAGCTGCTGCCAATACCCGGAAGCTGCTGTTTGATGAGACCATCACTCCATCTAGTCCAGTATTCTTTACACATGGAGGGTGGATTTATAGGTACTGAATGTGTACCTCACTTCCAAGGCTACTTAGCTGGCAGTTATCACGTTGGAACGCTGTTCCCTGCAAAGAGAAAACTAGCACAACAGTACTTTGTTTGCTATGCTGGTCTTTCTGTGTGCAGGGAGTTATTAATGGAGAGATAAACAGCAGCATTCTGAACTGAGGTGGCTCAGCCTATTCTACTGGGTCCTTCTATAACACGTGCTGAGCCTATTTGGCAGTGGCTCCCCCAGCTTTCAGCAGAAGTCTTTCCCAATCCTTGCCGTGCTACATCTAAACTGGATATACCAGAGCCCGGCACCTGGCAGGAACTCGCTGCGCACAAGGAATGTGATCTACCAATAAGCCAGGGGCTGCCAACTTGGTGCCCTTCCAAGCATTTTGGAAGACAACTTCCACGGGACTCAGCCATCTTGGCCAATGGTGAAGGATTATGGGGGTGGGTGCTATGGCCCGAAACATCTGCACAGTGCCACCAGGTGGCCTAATCTCTCATTAAGCTGTGGCCCATACACAGTGATCGCCAGCAGTGCTGAATTAAAAAAGGTACAGGCACTGTGTCCCTTTGAGTTCAGGCTACACTCAACCACCAGCTAAAACTTGGAAAAGGCATTTCAACCTTTCAGAATGATGGGGGGAAGCATGAAAGCTTGGAAATGACCGCATGACTGTGGGAGCCAAAGGTTAACCCACCCCTGAATTAGACAACCCCCTATAATGCTGTGAGCAGAAAGTACAAATTATCGAAAGAAAGTGAATGCACGGATTAGCTACAACGTGGCACTCAACAGGTAAAGGAGGGGACCGCCTTAGGCAAGCCACAAAATCTCACAGCCCTGTCACGTGTCACATTTTTAAAGTAAAACATCTAAAAAGTGCTTTTTCACCTATAATCATAAGGTGTTCACATAAGTGAGTAATATACAGGGTTACATAAGTCAAGGGGCAGGAATTAGCACACGCACAGAAGGACACACACACACACACACACACACACACACACACACACAATGTGCTTCATAGGGTATAATAATATTGTCTATCTTTCTGTAAGGGTTACTTGAAATCTACATTTTTTTAATATGTATGTGAAGCGCTTTGAGTACCCACGTGCTCCAAAATGCTGCTGTTGCAGACCAAGAAAAAAATTGCATTGCAGAACCAGAAGATGAGTTAAAAAGCAGCCAAATTCCCAGTGGCATGAATCTAGAACATGTGGCTGGTAAGGATGCATACTTCAGATACTGGAGCAGTTCTTGTTGGAAATATCCTTTCATCAGTTGGAAACTTTGTTTTGTTGCCATAGCTACTTCCATTACAAGTGGCCTTGACAAAGTCAGGAGGTATTTGTTTTGAAGCAAAACTACATGCAGCCTCAGCTGCAGAGTGTTAAAAACCTACAAGCATAAGAAGAGCCGTGCTGGATCAGATCAAAGGTCTTTCCAGCCCAGGATTCGATTCCCACGGTGCCCGGCCAGATGCCCCATCCCTGCCAGTGAACCACAAGCAGGTCATCGGCACGATGGCGCCCTCCCGCTCCCACTCCTCAGCGAATGGTTCGCAGAGACATCCTGCCTTGAGTCTGGAGGTAATGTGCCATCACATAAACGTGCTCATGGCTCTGAAAAGGTGCTTTTTAAAAATATGTGTGGATATTCACATGTACTTCTGTGCATTTTGTGTGCACTGAAATTCACAGGCGTTTTTGCATGCAATTCTTCCTAACATGCAAGTGTTTTCTAAACAGTTTCTCCTGTTTGCCTTTAAAGGCAGCTTTCTTTTCCCTAATGTACACATCATTGTACACAGCATTGTATACAATGACCAGGTTTCCGGGACACGACAACCCATCTTGGGTTGCCACCCACACTGGGATGATGTCTCATGTAGATCTTGACTTCTCAGTATACACATTTTACGTTTTTTGTTTTTTTTAAAATTGGAGAGCTGATCTTAGCATTCAGAGAAGTGCAAAAGCTTTAAAAATCTGCATTTTAGTCTGCATATTAATTCAAAAAAAGCAAATTAGGTTTGTTCATGCAAAAATGTGAACCAAACAGATTTGTCCCATCACAGAACTGCGGTAGCTAGAAAAGGATGGCATAAACTACAGGTTAGATCTTTTGAGTAGCTCTTTCTTTTCTTTCTTTCTGCAATGCTGATCCTAAAAGAAAAGCTGTCAGAAGGAATCAGCTTTGTAAACCATATAACGAAGTGCAGGTGTTAACAGCTGACTCTGAATAAAGTGTTTCTGTTGGGATGATTCCAGGGACTTGTGAGTTAGTTAATTCACTACTGTAATGAAGCTATTGACATCAGTGCTATATATCTAGGCTTTAAACAACAAACACCCATAAAAGGTTGAAAGGCTATTTTTTATGTTGACATTGCTTCACCACTACCACCATTTTCAAAGGCTCTGCTGGCCAATAAACTGAACCTATTGCTCTTTGTACAGTGCAATTGTGAGGGCTACTGTTGAGAGTTGGTTCAAATTGTTGCAGAGCCTTGAAGCCTAACGGGTGATCTTCAGCCAGACGCTCTAATGTACATCTCCTAATAGTTGTGACCTGCCCAGAGACAGTCAGCTGCTTGGAGTGGGAGGTATTATGTCACCCCACACATTCAAAGACCCATCTACAGGCCACGAAGTGATGGGGAGATTGTCTGGCGGAGTGAGAAGAAAAATAATCGAATTTTCAGCCGAGCAAAGATCTTCCCAGCAAAATGGAAGTGGCTTTCCCCGTTTTCTCCCCATTTTCCTCCTCCAACTTTTGTTACAACACTGCCACCCTCAGTGACCTGGTCTTGCCCATAAGGCCTTGCTAAACAGCAACAGCATGTCATTGTGATGTTGTACTATTCGGCATGCACTCTTGAGGAGAAAAGCACATAGCTGAAGGATGGGACCATTTTTATCTTTTAGACATCAAATTATGGCTGCAACCTTGTGTATGTGCAAGACAGAGAAAGGCCTACAGTTCCCAGCATGCTCTGGGCAGCCATTTTTTTTTTTTTTCTGTCTAAGCATGGATAAAATTGTGACTTTTAACCCACCAGGTTTTTTTTTAAACTAGGTGATGTGCAGTTCTTCTGCTTTAATATAATTGATTTTTACTAAATCCTTTAAACTGCTTTGCTGGCTCTTGCTCCTGCTTTTTTAATTTTACTTGTGCATTTTGTACTGTTTTAATTGGATGATATTTAGTGTAGACTGCTTTGGATGTTTTAATAGGTCAGCGCAGAATTATAGCATTGGAAGGAACCTTGGAAGTCATCTAGTCGAATCCCCTACTCGATGCAGGATCTGAAATTCAAGATGTAGCTCTGTGTAAATACTGCTGGTGTAACAGAACCCACCACTTTCCTGCACAGTGGTTGAGTTCACACAAAATGACTATCAACCCTGCATGGTGGTGCTGGTAGTGGTGAGCATGATCATATTTATATCCCCCCTATTCCCAGTGACAGGGACTCAAGACAGCTCACAATGTCAGCATCCATGCAATTAAACATTCAAAAAACAGATAGAAGTTATATAATTAAATCAGTTAAACAGTAAAATTGAACAAATACTCAGATTAATACCACTACAAACACCGCTATATATAGAGAGAGTAAAACTAATGCAGCACCAGCTCAGACCATTCCCAAATGCCTGCTAGAAAAAGGTTTTCCCCTGCTTCTGAAAACCTAACAATCAACCTAGCCTCTCTAGGAAGGGAATTTCTGAGCTTTGGGGCCACCACTGAGAAGGCCCTCTCCCGTGTTTGCACCAAGTGGCCCTGTGGGGGTTGAGGCACCAGGAGAAGGGCCTACGCAGAAGACCTTAGAGCCCAGACAGGCCCCTGTGAGGGACTTTCAGAGGACCTGTGACGCCCTCTGCAGCTTGGGTCCAGGCTTTGACTTGTGTCTGGAAACAGAGCAGGAGCCAGTGGAGCGGCTCTGACAGAAGCCGTCTGCTCCCTGCAGCCAGGCCCAGCCTGCGGTCTGGCAGCAGCTCTCTGACCCAGCTGAACTTTCTGAACACATTTCAGAGGCAGCCCCATGAGTCAGAGTAATCCCAACAGGATGTAGCTAAGGCATGTGTCACCGTGGCCAAATCAGACAGTTGAAGGAACGGGCGCAGCTGGTGCGTTCGTTGTAACTGTGCAGATCATGGCTTGTGGGTTTCTTACCATGATCTACCTGACAGACGATCAAGCATTTCTACATTATTGCGGTTTCCATCCTCCCTGCTCAGTTCTCCCAGTGCTGGCATGCACCCCACTTGATTCCTGAAATGCCATTCCAAGGTGCATCTCCCCCTGCCTGTGTCACCTCATCGGTCTGCACTGGATGGCTGGAGCGGCTTCTGCAGTTGTCACTATTTGCTAGTTGCATACCAGGACTGTGGAAACTATGATCCTGCGTTCAGACAAACGACAAGTCATAGTGGAACAGTGAGACCATGGAGCAACCGATGATTTCTTACTGTAGTTTCTAAAGTCCAACCTTACTATGAGGGAATACCTCAGCGGGGTTTTGACAACACAACAGACCAACAATGGTGAAAAACCACCATGTCTTGTCATGCTGTCTGAACCCAGCCAGTCCGTTGCATTGTCAAACAGAAGTTAAGAAGTCCGTTGCATTGTCATTGCAAGTTAAGAGGCTTCTCTAATGCTGAAATCTGCTTCCCTTCCATTTTCACCCATTGTTCTTAATAATGTCCTCAGGGCAGCAGAAAACAACTCTGCTACTTTTTCTGCATGAGAAGAGTGCTATCATTTTCCCCTTCATCTTCTTTTCGCCATGCTAAACATATCCAGCTCTTTCAATCATTCCTCATAGGATTTGGTTCACAAATCATTCCCCATGGTCCAGTTTATCAATGCCCTTCTTAATTTGTGGTGCTCCAAGCAGAACACAGTGCCCAAAAAGAAAAGGGCAGATCTGGACCTTCCTGCAATCTGGACATTATGCTTCTGAAGATCACATTAGCCTTTCTAGCTGCTACCTCACACTGCAGACTCATAGTCAGTTTGCTTATTCACTAAGACTCCAAGATACAGATTTTATAATAGAATAGTTGTTTTATATGTAAATGTCAGTATTCATTGGGATTTCAAGCATAGGAAAATATAAAGAAAGATACTCAAGACAAATTAGATAATATGCGTATACATGAATTCCGGCAATTTCAATTGACTCTTCTGAATGAGTATATACATATGTGCATGTGCTCTCTCTCTCTCATTCTCTCTCTCTCTCTCTCTCTCTCTCTCTCTCTCACACACACACACACACACACACACACACACACACACAGTATTACTGATTACCAAAGCAAAGACATGTATCCACTGGTGTGCCATTGCTTGTTTTTTAAAAATCAAGACTACAGAACCCATGTTATTTGGAAACAAAATCTTTAAAAGTGTGTGGAAAGAAGGCTGGATGTGTGGTTAAGGAGAAGAGGGAAATGTGCAATTCTGTAATATTTGAGAAGCAGCAGGTGCTTGTGTAATTAAAGGCAGGGTTGTAATACAAACTCCTACATGAGGAGGGTTCAGGTTGCTCAGGCATGAGTGGCGCAGAGTCCAGGTTACTCACATCACACTCTATAAAAGGGTCAAAAGGAACCAATGGCCAATAGGAATCTCCTGCAGAAATTATATTCTGCTCTGGATTAATCTGATACTGTGAACAGCATCCAACTATATCGTCTTCATTGTCAACCTGCCCATGCCAAGTCTAATTCTCAATTCACACAAATATGTTTTATTTGGACATGTCCCCATGAGGAAGCATTAACCTTCCTGATGGTCACAACTTCAGCATGTTCTTGTGACTCTGCCACGCATGGAGCGCTTTGACAAGTTACCATGTTATTGAAAAAACCAAAACATTATCCTTCTATTGAAAATTTTGCTCTCCTCCAGAAGCAATGTCCAGCCATTTTTGTGACATTTTCTTTGATTCTGTTCCTTGAATGCTGTCTCCCTACTCTCTAAACTCGGGAGTGCATACAATCAGGGTTTTTTTTGAAGGAGTGAAGAGCAGTACTGCTATTTTTCACCCCGTTCCCTTGCCAAGAATTAGTTAACTTAAGTCACATTGATTTGAGTGGGTTTGCAACGACTATTGCATGGATCCAACCCACTGGAAAAATGATGTCTTTATTGACTACAAGTAACCCTGCTCAAGTTCAGAACACAAGACAAGATTGCAGAGAGAGTCGCAGAAAACAGTCCATTCGTTCAACATGCATTTTATTCATTATTATCATGAAATGGTAATTTTGGCTTCATAAATTAGCAGTTCTAATCTTTAATATGAAACCCTTTCACTGACTGCCATTGTGAACTCGGTGTAGCTGCTGTTTCTCAGCACAGCATCAGTCATTCCTCTTAAGTCAACAGCCTCGTCTGACATAGTGCGCGCCAGTCCAAAATGTCTGAAGGGCACCATGCTGGGGAAAACCACATTACATTGTATTTCCCACTGGAATGCTCCTTTAGACAAGCAGCTCACAGACACTACCCTAGTCCAGACAGTGAAAGCTTTGAAATATATCTGCAGGCATGTTTAAATTGTGATCCATAATCTCCATATCACACCTGCTTATTTTGCAACAGTAAATTATTTTATAGTCATTTCAAGATAGTGGTTTTCTTTGGGGCAGCACAAATGATATGTAACGTAATTTCATTTACAGCAAAGGCAAGGCTCAGTTTCAGTAAGGATGTATTTCTGTTTGTAGTAGAAATGTAACCAGTCTTTCAGAGCCTCTTTTTCTGCACTGGTTTTTGGACACTGTACATTTCAACTCATTTCCCCAGCCAGCACCTCTTGTTTCACATTGTGATCTGCATTATGTTTCACTGTATTACTGATGAACAAAGCAAAAGCAAGAATCCAGTGGTGTGGGTGTGCTTCTTTTTTTAATCTGGACTACACAACCCATGTTATTTGGAAATAAAATATTTAGAAGTGTGTGGAAAGAAAGCTGGACCACTTTCAGGGACTGAGTAGGAATGGGGTGCCTGTGGCCCTCCAAATGTTATTAGACTACAACCCCCCCATCATCCCTGATCCTTGGCCATGCTGGATGAAGTTCATGGGAGTTGCAGTTGGACAACATTTGCAGGGCCAAAGGTTCCTCATCCCTTCCCTAGATGCACCGGTGTCTGAGACTTTCCTATGTCATAAAATATATTTTCAACACTGCTTACCTAAAGCAGTCTGGATACTCTGCAAGAGCCATGTTGATGATATCCAAAGCATGCTGATAGTGTTTTTGGGCTGAAAAAAGGAGAGCCAGCAAATGGAGGGAATTCATGTCATCCTTACATAGTTTCAGTGCTTCTTGTAGGCGTTCTATTGCATCACAAATCTGGAAAATAAAAATCAACCATTTCTCTTATTTGACTCAGTTCTGCATGAAATTTGTTTATTTTGGCCCTTGATTATCACAGAACAAAACAAAGACAAAACAGAAAAGCCCCCAAGCTAAATATCACTCAAGGCAGAATCAATAAAACCCAAGAAGCAAGAAATAAAAGCAATTGTGAAGCAGGAGCATAAAAGACATCCTGTAGATGTGTATTCATTGGCATCCTGTAAAAGAAAATATCAATAATACAACTCACATTTAGGTAACATTTAGTAATTGGTACCTGGATTATAGATTGTTACAAGTGAAGCAACAATGTCTTGTTGCTGCAAAAATGCATCTCAGTGGCACACAAGAAGTGGTGCCTTTGTTTTTACTAGCTACTACAGGGATTGTGTTTTACCCTTCCAACTTTTCTGAGGATCAGTTCTAGGATTCTGCTTCATTAGAAGTTCCTGAACAGAGGCTGGATAGTCATTTATCAGTGATATTTTAGTAGCAGATTTCTTGCAGCAGGAAGGGGTTGGACCAGGTGATCTCTGAGGTTCCTTCCACTCTGTTCTCCTGCTGTTACCTTTGGTCCAGTGTTCATGCTCTTTCATTAAGAAAGAAATGTATTTCAAGCTTTCCCAGAATAAAACCTGGATGCTTATAAAACTTTGAGATCTGAATGGAACGCCCTGAGCTGCCTATGCCCCTGCTCCAGGCAGCTAATGCCAACAGCCATTACACAAGGTCTGATGAAGCATACTAGGCAAACCTTGCGGAGGTTTAAGCAGGTCTGGATCAGAGCAATGCCTGCAAAGAAAACCACCTGGGAACCCAGCCTATGCCTGCGGTTCCCTTGGTTCCATATGGAAGAAAGGCACCAAATATACATATTAAAGAACATCTGTGATATATTAAAAAAAGAACAAGCTGATCTTCGCTCTTTAAAGACCTAAGCATCTTCTCCTATATTTACCTACCCTGATATGGTTGTCTGAAGTCCTCCAGCTGCCCCTGCCAAGTGCTCTGCCCAGAGAGAATCACCTGTGGTCGTTCTGGTGCCAGCTGAATACCATTTTATCCTTCCAGGCATTTTATTAACTGTTTTTGTACTCTATCCTGCAGCTAATTTTAGTTTGGTTTTATTACTTGTACTGGTTGTATTCTTTGCTTCTAGATTTATTTTGGCTTTATTCTGTGCTGTTTTTATTTTGTATTGCAATAGTCACACTGTATGTTTAACATATTGTACACTGTCCAAATAAGTTCAGTTATTGAGTATTTTAAATATTATTTTTAAATAATTTGACCCTTGTCTGTTCCTGATTCTGCTTTTCCTTCTGGGCCTGCCATGCTTTGCGGGATCTCTGACCCTCTTTGTCTTACTGGGACTGATCAGCACCTGGTCTCAGTGCTGTGGCTGTAGCCACCTGCTGCCTTTGTCCTGGACCTGGCATCTGGCTGGTGGACAGGGCATGAAAATGAAACGCCTTGCCAGTAACCATTTGAGAGCCAGGTATCCGGGGAAGTACCTCATTGCCAACTAACTACGATTTAGTTCTGATTTGCTCTCTGATCTGCAGGCCATGTCCTGCTCCTCATCATCCCCATAAATGGGGGAAAGGATATGAGGGAGGCGTTCTCAGGGGCAGCCCCCCCCCACAGTAGAAATCCCTCCCAGGAGAGGTGTGATTAGCCCCCCACTGTGAGCATGATGAGATGGAAGTCTAAGCCCTCTTTATTTGCACAAGCATTTCAGTTCTGACCTGTTGGCTTTGATGTCTTTAGGTTCAATTCTGATACTTTAAATTGTTTTAGTGTTAAGATACAATTTGTTTTACTGCTGTTTCTTCTACCAATATTGTGAACTGCTTTGTACTCCTTTCAGGGAAAGGGTAGGGTACAAGTTTTTTAAAAAAACATAAAGAAGCAAACCAAATAGCTTCACATAATGCTTCAATCTGTTGAATGTTTCCTGTCAATCGCCCTTTTTGCAAGCTGAATATTATTCTTTGGGTCAACATGTGGAACGCATACGGAAGAAAACCTCTGTTCTTGGCACTCTGTATTATCCCAGAGCTGCCACGACACCCTTGAAACCACATCCTAAGCAGCACTCCAGATCATGGTAGTTCTGCTAGCTGAAGAAAGGGGAGCTCTTTGTTAGCATCAATATTTTAGAAGCAAAACACCAAGAAAATATAAGAAATCCTAATGAGCAGAGCATCTTCCTTGAAGGAAGCCCTCTGGCTTCTGCCCAGTTCATGAGCAGCAACTTTGCATCTGCTGATTGTATAAAAGGTCCTGAGAAGTAGCTGTGATTTGTTGAAATGAAGCAATGAAAATTTTAAGTAAAGGATTGACTTCACCCAACACCAACCACTCCAAAATGCTCCCTTAAGACAGTAAGTATGTCAGCATCCCAGGCTCGAGCCCCCTTCCACTTTTAATTAAGCAGCAGCAGACAAATAGGAAGAGGCAAAGCGCTTAATGTCAACATATCCTGATCTTTTATTGGCATACTGGAAACATTTAACGAGTCAACTGAAAATTGGCACAAGAAAGTTTTGAGCTGGATTTCCAGAACTAGAAACCTTCCCTGGGAAGCAGGTCCTGGTTATCCCAGAGCACCAGACCTCAGCCTGGAAGGCTGAATTTCCAAGCCTGGTAGAGCATAGAGAATTGGCAAGCTATAATGCTCCTACCAGGCTCCCACTATGATGACCCAGTGATGAGAAGTGCTGCACTTCTGTCGATTTTCCTCCCCTATTACACAGTAGTGCTAGCAGAAGAGTGGCAACTGTAGATCAAGTCTTGGGTAACTACTCTGCTGAGTTCCTTATCAGTAAAAATAGGAATGGCAGGATCATACTTTGAAGGGACTTCTTTGAGGATTGCCATGATGGTAAAGGGCCTGTGGGGGCTGCAATACAGACAGTAGTGAAAGAATAGTATGACTGCATGCAAGCATGGGAGGCAAGCAGGCAGGCTATCAATGGCCCCTAAATCATGGGGGCTTATAGGACTGGCGGTGTGCCTCTCGGTATCAGTTGCAGGAGAACATGAGCAGGTGGGCACGGCTGCCCCATGGCCGCTTGTGGGCTTCTCGTGGGGATCTGGTGGGCCGCTATGGGAAACAGAACGCTCAGCTAGATGGGACTTTGGTCAAATCCAGCAGGGCTCCTCCTACTTTCTCAAAACAGTTTCGCAAAAGCAGGCACCAGACATTTATTTATAGAGGTCCGAGCTTGTTAAATTGAAGCAGCTGCATAGCAGCAGAAACATGGAGCTGTACGGAGCTGGCAGTGCTCTTAAATACCATTTGGGGATTTGCCAGATGTTGAAGAATCCAAACGCTAGCATGACTCTCTGGCCTACGATCTCTGATGGTGAGGAAAGCAGAGCAAACTGCAAGCGTCTCATCCCAGTCCAGCCAGCAGCCTCCTCTGAACTTGTGCACATGTGCTCCAGGGAAGGTGCGCACAGTGTTGAGCAAGTGTGAGATGCTTATGCTAATATTATGTACTGTACAGACTTTCTGAAACAAACTTCGAGCTCAGTGCTTCATGTATCGAAGCTTTTAGAGATGCTGGCAAAGGAAATAGACCTATTCATTCTGGTTGGGCATTGCCAAGTTAGGGGGTAGGACAGAGACAGGCTAATGAGAGCAAGGCATGGCTGAGGGGGGCGGAAGCAGGGTGGTGGTTTGCAGAAACAAGAAGAATAGTCCTTTTGCGGCTAGCGCCAGGGAGTAATCTAGACCAGGACCTCTTTCGAAAGGAGGTCTCCTTGCTGGTCCTCACATAGCTCTCTTTGACATCCAAAGACTGGTGGATTGAATCACTGCCTTGCTGAAAGCCCTGCTGCAGACGCTTCCATTTTTAAAAGGCTTAATGTGTAATAAACCAGCCACTCCTGGCAAGAACCAATCAATTCTTACATGGTATACAGCTTGCTCAGACATCCACTTTGTTCCAATAAAACCAGACGGCAAACCAAACTTTGGCATGTCAGGAATTGCCTTGGTTGCTTTTTTGTTTGTTTTGAACATTTCTGCTATAAGATAGTTCGGAAAAGCTACTGGCAAAACATGGTGCAGCAAAGCATCGTTATTCCTAATTCTGGGCAACCAACACATCCACAGCATGGTGGGCTACTGAAGATGTAAATAAGAAAGGCATTTATGGATATAAATGCATGCAATGACTGAGGAGGCTCCCAGATGGAGGGCACCTGGTGGTGCAACTGAAGCCACGGTGTAGCAATTATCCTGTTCTTTTTCTTCTTAACAGATTTTCTGAAGAAGGAAAAGGATGGAAGAAGTGGTGGGAAAACACAGAAAGTTATGAGCGGAAGAAGGCAGCATCTGAGCATCCCTCACCTGTAAATTTCCCTGAATGAGGCAGGGTAATGGCACCAGAAAAGCATCATCTAGAACAGGGCAGTCCAACTTTTCGTACCTTGAGAGTTACCTGAGGATTTTGATATGGAATCCCAGGGGCCGGACAATGAATTACATTTCCATATCATAAATTAAAGTGTTTGCAATATATGTATTTATTTTAATATACACAATGAATGTGTTAACCGTTAAACAAGAATGAAATAATTTTAAGATGATTTTAGGATTAATTGTATTAAAAATGCTTTCTGGGCCTGTGATCTCTGCAGAGGCCGCAGGCATCTCCTTCTCCGACCACAGCCCAAGCACAATGGAGTGGCCCATCCCTTTCTTCCCTGTGTCTCCCGCCCAGAAACACCCCCATGTGACCCCTTGGCCCCTCCTTCCTTCCTGGCATTGGCAGGCCGAGCCTCTTGTACTTGAGCCAGGAAACTCCCCCTAGCGTGCCCCGCCTGCTCCTGCTGATGAGGGCCAAGGCGCTCAGCACCTGTGTGCTAGTCAGCTGGAGCGGAGGCCACCAGCCCAACCCACTGTCTTCCTGAACATCGGCCTGCTGCAGTCATGCCCATGCCATTGCTGGGATCTGGACTGGGGGGAATGGGGCACTCCAAGCAGCAAGAGGGCCGCATGCTGGACGACCCAAATCTAGAGGCATTCTGAAGGCTGATTCAACCACATGTTACATCCCTTGGTTAAGAAATGCTGACTTTGCTACTACCATGCATGACTTGGTGACCTCCAGTTTAGATTACTGCAAGGCACTTGAAGTGGGGCTGCCCTTGATGTGTACTCAGAGACCATAGTTGGTCCAGGATGTGTGGACAAGGTTATTGACTTTATCTCCTTCATGCAGCCACCCTGACCAACTTCAGGGCCTTCCAAGTGTCCATGTACAACTCAATGTTCTGGTCTTGACCCTACAAAGTCCCAAACGGTTGTATTTAAAATGTCCAAGTTTCTAAAGGAATGCATGCTCATGTATGACCACATGTGGCCATCATGCATGAAAGCAACTATGTGAAGCTGTGCTGTGTGTTCCACCTTCTTCGGAGGCTATTCTGATAAACACCAGAGACAGGGACTTTTCAGTGCTGGCCCCGAGACTGATAGCTCTTCCCTCCAGGAACATCCATCTTGCACCCTCTTCTTCAGAAAACAGGTTAAAATATTTTGCTTGTGAGGAAGATGGTGGCTAACAATGTTTACATTACCCTGATTTTTTAAATCTTTGAATCTTTGAAGTTGATAATATTTTTGTAGTTTTAAGTATTGTGATATGGATTATCAGCAAGCTTGGATGATCTTTTTTAAGGCAGATTTTAATTATCAGCACCTTTTATCAAATTACATCCTTACATGGACAGAGATAGCTGAGGTACAGCTATCCAAGGTCTGGTAACTTCTCACCTTGATTATAGCCAAATGAAGTGAGGTGGGCGGCTTCTCAGAAGTGGGCCTCTTCAGGTGTGGAATGAGCTCCCTAGACAATGTGCTCTTTTTTGGCATCAGGTGAATACCTTAATTTCCCAGGCATATTGATCATTCACATTTCTGTTGTTTTACATCACAATTTTATTTTAAATCGTTGCGCTGCTGGGTTTTTGTTTTTTATTATTTCATATTGTAGCTTAAAATTTATATTTTATCATGTAGTAGTTTATGGTTTTAATTACTGCGAGCTGCCCAAAAAATTTGGCTGGCTATAAGGCAGTATGGAACTGTAATAAATATTATTGATAACTGTTGCTGTTTTTTGTTGTCAAAAGCCACCATGCCACCTCTCTTCTTTTCTTCCAAGCAGATTGAGAGAAGAGACTTCTAACTACAGTCTTCTATTATGTTAAAATAGGCCACCCAGCAGTACTGCAGGATGCTACTTAACTGCCTCGTTCTCTGAACAACCCTCCCATCTTTGAATTTGCCTAATCTCATTTAATGCTATCTAAGTAGGTGGCCAACACTATCTCCCAAGAAATCGAATTCCATAGTTAAACTATGTGCTCATAAAATTTTGACTATAATCTGCCAGCATCCACCTAGTCTAATGGCCACCTAGCATGGCAGAACTTGCCCACCTTCATTTCAGTGGGAAATGGAGACAGGAAGGCTAAGGAAGATGAATGATTTTGCACCTAAATAGTATTTGATTTAAGAAAGTGTGAAGTTGGGACATGTGAGTATCTTCTAAGCTACTCTGCTGAGTGAGAATGGCCCAACAAGAATAGGGTTGAGGGCAGGAGTTTAAAGGCAACTCAGGAAGGTCTGGACTCCCAGAATGAAAGCAAGGCATTAACTGAGCAGTTACACAATTTTTCAGTTACAGAGCAGTCAGTCATTTTGGAACCCTGCACCCATCTCAGCAGGCACCAAATTGGCTGGTGAAAGCCTTAATCATGGCACTCACCAGTTAATATAATCTGCCAGATATATCAGTAGTATCATTTATCCTTCAGTTAATCAGAAAGAGAATACATTAGATAGTTTAAATTATTAAGGATATTAAAAATGCATTAAGAAAATGTTTATCATGAGCTACATTGGCAAAAGCAGAGCAGGATATTTTAGAGGCCTAAAAATAAATATGTCTCAGGTATCAGCAACACACTCCAAACATGCTTTAAAGATTTATACCCTGTTAAATGGAGGAAAACAGAGTAGCCATAGAGGACTCAGGCTGATACCAATCAGCACTAGAATATTATTCCTGGGCCCTTATGTTGAACTTATTCTGGGCTTTCACCCCTCTCTGACTGATACATGACTTTTTCTCTTGGTCGTCTTTATGGTGGGCAATAGCTTAGACTCAGGTAGCTAAAATTCCTACATTTCACATCAGAACAGTGCTTAGGCTGAATCAAGGTTCTCCTACCATACTTGTTAAAATAACTGAACAAATTTTGACAAAAATTGCACGCATGTTTTCAGAGCACAAGCCTGTAGTAATATTTAACACGATCCTCTAGAAGCATGGCTGTAAGTCTTCCACGAAGATGCTCAAAACAGGGTAAAGTTATTTGCATATACTGAAAGCTGATTAAATACAGAAGCTGAAGCATGCTATCAAGAATATTCTAGAACCTCAGAAACAAGTCATTGCGGAACGATCAAGGCGCAGGTACAAAGTTTGCCAAAACCAATGTCCCAGATGAAAGACTTCATCAACTGCACCCACATTATGAAAATCTCACTTTCTTCTACTTTTTACCAGAGATTTTTGCACTTACCTGCCTGACAAGAGCCAGCTGTAGGGACACATAGAGGATGATCTGGTGGTCTTCAGGTGCCAAGCGATGTGCTCTGTAAAACATAAATAAACGTGAATGTTGCTGAACATGAATCCGTGCTACAAAGCTGAACTCACAAGGAAGGATGCTTGGCAGTGATGAAAAGGAGCACAAAGCGCTAACATCATTACGTGGAGTGAGCGGTTATGCCCCTCAGTCAAAGATGGACAAATTTGTCAGTCTCTTGCCCAGAGTGATAGATTTTTGAGGTCAAGTGCATTCTGTTCCATTTCTATACACATTTTGATTTAAAAAAAACTATACAGAAATGTGCACTTTTCTGTGCAATTCCCCAATGTAAGCATATTTTGTTTAAACGCACACACATTTTTGAAATTACTTTCCATTGCTGTGAAGGCGTTCTTTGTGAAGTTTTCAAATATACATACATTGTGCACAGTTTTCCCTAAACACACACTTTTGTGCACATGTTCCTCTGATGGGCTATGACACAAAGCTCATAAAATACCAATTTTTATGTTCATGTGTGCTTGGGAGTTATGAACTGACTAAATGCATTAAATCGAGCAAAACAAATTTCATATCCATCCCTACCGTATGTTATATATTGTTTATCAATGTTGCACTGCTACATGTTGAAAATCACTCAAACATAAAGCTCACTGCATGACTTTGTGCAGGTTATCATCACTCAGCCCAACCTGGTATGTGGGGCTGTTGGGAAGATGACAGCATCATAAGCGAGTCCTGCGAGATCACCCAGGAGGCCACATAGTCCGGTTTCTTCAGAGGCGAACCTGATGGCACTCCCCCCACCCGCCACCCACACATGTGTGTGTGTATCAGTATCAGTCAGAATGGGAATAAGATGAGGGTTCACAGTATGCATTTCTCAGGGAACCCAAAGTACCATAGGATTTCCTGCAGAGACCAAGTCAGCTCTTTGCGTCTTGGTTCCAGGCCCAGCACTGGAAGTTTACCTTGGCTTAATTTATCTGCAAAGGGCATCACATCTTTCCTAGCACCCAATATGCCATTTTTGCATGGTGCATTATCAGAAAAGAGGAACTGCTGCCTCTAAAATGAGCCACAACATTGCATATGCTAATTATATATATGCAAATTTTTGAAATAATTACTGCAAGTTAAACAGAAATGCAATACATCTCACCATAATGGGGGAAACTCTGATAAAGTGACTTGTCTGAGTTCTCAGTTTGCTGCCCAGCTGCTAATTGTAGATGAGTCGCTCTGCAGGTTCTGCTTTCCCTTCTCAGTAATTTTTATCTTTAAACTAGATTTGACTTTGCACAGCCCTTTAAAAAGAGGAGGCCTTCAAAGAGAGGACTGCTCTTTGCCTCTCCTATACTGAACCAAATGGAGAATGGATGGTGCTGTAAGACAGACCCACTCCGAGAGGGAGAGAGGGGGAGAGGGAGGGAGAGATCAGGGCCTATGCAGCAGAATCTAATGGGAGTCATTCTACAGACCCATTCTGCTAAAGAGTTGCAATGAGCAAATTCTTGCACATTACATTTCCATAATTACTTGCATTCTCCTCTTGCACACTGTTCAGAACCTGGCTTGCTCTAGCAGAACAACACAGTTGATATTGCCCACAATTTCCTTAAAGGGGAAGAACATTCTGCACAGAAGATTCCCTCTTCTGCTTCCCTCACAAGCTTTGGGCAGGTACGGGACAGAGATAAGCCATTGCAACTGCCATTGTGATAAAACGGTGTTTTGTCTTTAAAGTGGCAGTAGCTGTGGCTTCCACCTCTCTTCCTCTGCCTCAGATAAGCACTAAGGACACCAGAAACTTCAGGAAAAAAGCCAGCAAGGGCTGTCTTGGAGGCACTCAAGAAACCAGCCAACATAAAACATCTGTAAATATGCCACTCCTCCATGCTTTATACTGCCAGATGTTATAAAGAATCCATTTATAACATGCCACTCCAGAGCTGAGTGGCCAATGAGTTCTGGCCAGGTGCTTGGATATAGGACTAAGGGGGAAGTAAAGGTGGTGCTGTTCAGGAGCATCCATCGTAGGTTTTAAGGACTTTCCTTGATGAAGTTGCTGTAAGCAATTCAAGATGAGCACAATCTTAACGGAGGTACAGCCCTCACTTTATGATTCACAATAAGACCTTAGGTTCTGTGTCGAATTAATATTTTTATGAATTTTTATTCAACATGAGGGGTTTTCTTCAATCATCACTGGAGTAGAATTCAGATACTAATATCTGCCAATATTAATACGTAGGAAATTATCTGCAATTGTGCAGATTTGGTTTAATTTTGTAATTGTTCCCATTCCAAGCTCTTTGGGGACATAAAACTACAATTTCTTAAACATGGAGGTTGAATTGCAACACATTCCCTTAGCAAGCTGAACATCTGCCTTCCCCATTCATTGTAAGCCTGATCATCAAGATTCAAGAAGGTAACACAAATAAAAATAATCTTCAGTATTCTGCCCAGTATATTTAGGTCAGACATGCAGAGAACTTGGGAGGATGAGAAATGGCGTAACTGTTAAGGACAGTCCTGGTGTGCCCTTGAGGGCTGGACTCAGCACCTGGGCAGCATGGTTGGGGGTGGCCTCTTTGGCCAATTTTAGAGTATAGAATGAAGGCCCAGAGGCATCTTGGGTCCAAGCCACTTGGCAGTTTATAGATCACTGGGGCACCTCAAATCATGCTTGGAAGGCTACAGCAAGCCAACAGAATGCCTGGGGCATTTACCGTTTGTGTCCCAGGATGGAACAGGAAAGCACAGTGAAGACTGAGGGTGCTGCATTTCCTATTCCATTCACCTTCCCAGAGGCACAGGACAACTGCAGTTCTTCCCCATGCAGGAGAGGCATCAAAAGGATTACAGGTGAAACTATTTGTCTAGTAAACCCAGTATGGTCTATTCTGCAGTTCTCCAGGCTCTCAGTAGAGGCTGTCTTTCCCATCACTTGCTACCCAACCTGAGAATCTTCAAGAGCGGCCCTGGGCCCATCGGCATGAGTGTGCTCAGCCTCTGCATGAGAACTCTTCCCTTTGCACAAAATTTTAGCTTCTCTCTTGGGCATTCCCTCAGTATCAAGCTCTGTGGAGCTGATGCACCCAGCTCTCAAAACATTCAGAGCAAGTTGTCTTACTTTGACACACTCAAATGTATATATTCCATTGCTTCAACAAACAGAGTAAAAGAGTTAGAAGGGACCTCAGAGGGCCAACCCCCTTCTGCCAACACCCTGCCAAACCAAGAAATCCACAGCTACCATACCCTCAATATTTATCCATTTATTTATTTTCTATACTACCCAATAGCTGAAGCTCTATAAGCTCTGGAGATTATAAAACACAGGAACATACAGTTGCAAAGAGAGAGAGAGAGAGAGAGAGAGAGAGAGAGAGAGAGAGAGAGAGAGGCAGGTCCAGATTGTTTTCAAGTTCCACATCCAGGTTTGTACAAACATGCTTTTGGGATTTATTTATTTAAACAACAACAACAAATAGTGATGAGTCGAATGCATCTCCCTGGGAAGGAATTACAAAGGTTGGGAGCCAAGAATGAGAAAGCTTGTTCCCTAGTAGCCACCAATGGAACAGTTTTGACTGATGGGCTTCGGTAGGCTCAGGCACGATGCAAGAGATCCTTTGGGTACTGTGATGCCAACTCATTTTCAGCTTTAAAGGCCAAACCCAGCATCTTGAATTGAGTATAGAAATGAACAGTCTGCTATCTAAGTGCCTTGGAAACCATTTAATATGCTTTGAAGACTTAGCTTCCAAGAGCATTCTAGATGGCTGATTCTGCTCCGGCTGATTCTGCTCCAGCTACAGTTTCCAAACTGCCTTCAAGGACAAACATACATAAAACTCATTTGTGTGATCCAACCTGGATGTCGCCAAAGCGCGCATTACTTGAGCAGGTTTCTCAATAAAGCACTTAAGAAAAAGCCTCAGCTAGCAGATGACACGAAAGATTTCTACCTGGGAGCCTGGACAGTCACTTCCAATCTAAGAAAGAGACTGTCCCTCTCAGCCGAGCTATTGCTTTTAATGCTAGCAGGCTATTCTCAGTCTGGTAGCCATGCCTAATGCACGGAAATTCAGTACTCACAGCACCCCCTGTTGACTAACAGGGATATCTACGAAGCCTGATTAGTGATTTACCCTCATCCAAGCCAGAGTTAAGATATCAAGGAAACAAGCCACAGCCGGTGGGGAAAGGTCAAAGGGCTAAAAATAAGTGTGGTTAAAGAGTAATATAGGACAGTAATTACATCTGAATAGCATGCTAACGGAGATGTTACATCTGAGTCTAGGAATGTATGCCACTTAAAGCCGCATCCCCCTCCGAGAAGGACCTCTGTCACGATGACACCTCCTTACACTCCAGGTTGGCATACAGAGAAACAACAAACAAGAGTACATTTCTGGTAGATTGTAAAGGCAAAAATACTCCCTCACCCCACCATATATATATTTCCTGTATGCACCAAAAACGGGGGTAGGGATGGATATCCTCAAAAGCTCAAACATCCTGAGATGCCTAGAAGGATTTCAGATGAAAGCATAAACAAGCAACATCTGTCAATTGGCATGTTTTTAGTTCTTCTTCTCACCTTTCTAATGTCTGAAGTGCTTTCCGGTGCAAATCATCTTGTGTACTTTTCAAGGTAGCTGCAATAAAAGAAGCAAAAATGTTTGTTTTTGCAACTACTGCAGCAAGCAGTAGGGATGACTGGGTGCCTAGTTTTGAGGAAAACAGCCCATATCATTCTTCATTAAGAGCATTTCCCTAAGGAGTCGCTGCCTGAAAAAGCATTTACTGCCTTATTTCAATGGGTTCTACAAATTGATCACGCCTGCCAGCACAGACATCTATTTCAACCATTCATTCATTCTGCCTTTTTTTTTTTTTTTCGATTTATATCCTGCCGTTTTCCTGCAAAGGGCTCAAGGCAGCTTACATCATTCTCCTCCTCCATCTTATCCCCACAACAACAACCCTGTGAGGTAGGTTGGGCTGAGAGTCTGTGACTGGCCGAAAGTCACCCAGTTGGCTTCATGGCTGAGCGGGGACTAGAACCCAGATCATCTGAGTCCCAGTCCCATGCTCTTAGCCACTACACCACACTGGCTCTTATAGTCAAAGCTCTCAAGGCAGGTCACAACAATTTAAAACTTTAAAAAATAAAATACAGTAGAAGAATGTACGTATTTAAGAATACAGTATAACATAAAATTGAGAACTAAAGTAAAACCCGGCAGCAGTACAAAGCTTTAAAATATAATACAGAATTTTTTAAAGACTGAAATTAAAATTCCTTGGAGAAATTCTAGGAAAGTAAGGTCATTCTTTGTTTTTAGGGAACATTCAGCAAACATCAGACCAGAAATGAAACATCTTGGTAACTTTGGGAATTCCTTGCCCTATATGACCTGCCCTGAATTTTTTTAAACTATCATTCCCCCAGTGGCTCATAGCAGTGTCCCTAGATCAGCCCTGCCAGATCAGACCAAAGGTCTATCTAGTTCAACATTCTGATAATAAAGTAGCATACTGGGGAAAAGTACTTCCGTTTATCTGCCCTGAATCTCCCATCATTCAGCTTCATGGGATGACACCAGGTTCTAGTTTTATGAGAAAAATATCTTCCTATCTATTATTGCCATGCCATGCATAATTTTGTACACCTCTATCCTATTGACCCTTACTTGCCTTTTTTCTAAGCTAAACTATCCCAGATGTTCCTTATAGGGAATTTTTTTATTCCCTTGACCATGCTAGTTGCCCTTTTCTGCATTTTTCCAACTTTATAATATCCTTTTTTTAGGTGTGGTGACCAGAACCGTACATACTATTCTAAGTGTGGTAACACCACAGGTTTTCAGAAATGCAATTTGATATTGGCAGTTTTATTTTCCATTCCTTTCCTAATTATGCCTAATATGGATTTTTGCCTTTTTTCACAGCAACTTCAAATTGGATTAACATTTTCGTCAAGATGTCCATCAAAATCCCAAGATCTCCTTCTTGGTCAGTCACTGCTAGCTCAGATCCCATCAACTTAAATTTGAAGTTGGGATGTTTTGCACCAAAATGCATCACTTTATACTTGCTGATATTGGACCACATTTGCCATTTTGATGTCCAATTCTCCTGATTTGGAAAGATCCTTTGGAGGTTTGCACAATGTTTGTTTGATTACCCTACATAATTTGGTGCTATCAGCAAACTTGGCCTCACCAGATTATTTATGAACAAGTTGAGTGGTATTAGTGCAAATACAGATTCCTGTGGGACACCGTTATTTACATCCAATTTGGAGAATTTACCATTTCTTCCTCCTCTGCTTTCTGTTCTTTAGGAAGTTCCTGATCCAGACTATTAGAATACCTTTGCTGTTATTCCATAACAGCAAAATTTCTTCAGGAGCCTTTGATGAGGGAATTTGTCAAAAGGCTTTGCAAGTCACAAGTAAATAATGTCCACTAGATCAGCCTTCCCCAGCCTTGTGCCTTCCAGACACATTTGGACTGCAACACCCAGAATTCCCAGTCAAGGGCCCTGCTGGATGGGAATTCTGGGAGTTGTGGTCCAAATGCCTCTGAAGGCCACCAGGTTGGGAAAGGCTATACTAGAGCATCCTGCCCACGTGCCTATTGCCACTTGCAAAGAACTTTTAAAGAGTTAGTAAAATAGAACTTACCTTTGTAGAAGCCAAGCTGACTGTCTTTAGCAGAGCTTGTCCTTCTGTATGCCTACTAATTTTATCATTACTAATACTGATTTGCCCAGAAAAGATGTTAAACTAACTGAGCTGTCATTTCCCAGATTACTGCTCCCTCCCCAAAGTCTTTTTAAACATTGGCATTAAATTGGCCATTCTCCAGTTCTCTGATACAGTGGCTGGTGTTAGAGTCATATTACGTTCTTTTTGGAGGTCAACAATTTCACATTTAAGTTCTTCAAGATCTCTAGGATGCATAACATCTGGGCCTGATGATTTACTAACTTCCAATATGTCAATAAGATTGTGGATTTCCAGTTCTGTCACCACTATTTGCTCTATTTTCTCAGACTGGAAAAATGTTTTCTGAAAACATCAGTTCAGGCACAGTACCTGTTCTGTGTCTTCTGTAGTGAAGACAGAGGAAACAGAATCATTCAGCTTCTCCATAATCTCTAGATCCTTCTTTAGTATTCCTTTACCTCCATTATCATCCAGTGGTCCAGTGGCCCCCCTAGCAGGCTTTCTCCTTGTAATAGACTGAAAGATTGCATTATATGTTCCCCAATATGCTTTTAAAATCTCTTCTTCCATCTACAGTGTGCATGCTTGTGCGCCCTTTTGTTTTCCTCATTTGGGTCAGACTTCCATTTTCAGAAGAAAACCTTCTTTTCTATTAGATACCACACATTTCCAGTGCTATCGACTCTTCCAGGATACCCCACATCATGACCTCTTGGACTTGGAGCTGTCTTAACCTGTAGTATTAATTCTTTCTGAGTTTCGATTAATGTGATTTTGAGGAACTCCCAATATTTTGAAGGAGTTTAAATCCCATTGAATGTAACTTCCTTTTTACACGTTTCCTTATTTTAGAGATGTATCCTCTTTTAAAGTAAAAAGCAATTGTGTGGGTGTAGGTTAGGCTGAGAAGGTATAACTGGCTCAAACATCACCCAGTAAGTTTTATGAACAGAGTGTGGATCTCAACTTAGAGTTTCACAGTCCTAGTCCATTATTCTTACCGCTGTACCATGAAGATGCAGCTTGTACCAGACTTGCTTCCACATCTTGTGGAAGAAGGGACTTGTTCAAGAGGACTTTGTCATATGGTAGACTGATATCCATCAAGCATGGGACCGCCTCTGCTATAACATCTTCCTTGTAGAATCCTCTCATAGGAAACCCACAGGGCTAGCTGCTTGATCATTTTACAAGATGAACCTAAATGACTGTCTGTCTGTCTGTCTTTCTTTCCCTTTCATTTTTTTTATCCTGCCAGGTTTGTAGAACATAGTCTGCATTTCTTCCTACTGCTCATGTAGATTACTTTCATTTTTTCATGGTTTTATTGTTTTAACTTTTTAAAAAATGGATTTTTAAATGGCAAGCTGCTTTCAGAGCACAATAAGTAAAAAAGCATGATAGAAATGGGCTATATATAGATAGCCCTTCACTTTTTGTTCTATTTATTCTTTAAAGCAATTTTGCTTTGCATACTTTTGCTTAAAGAAGTCTTGTTCAATTCTGCCAATCTAGCATTTTGAAGCTTACAAGGCTCAATCAAATGCTTAGTTGCCCTGAAATCCCTTAAATATTTCCAGGCTGAGTGAGGCTGCTTATTCCTATGGCTTGCACGAAGAATCCTGCGAGCTAGCTGGGTGCAGGACTGCAGCCATCGGCTTCCCTGAAACATTTACCTAGCTCAACCTGCACATATGTCGACAATTTTCCAAAGACAGATTTTAGGAGCTGTTTTCTGATCTCTGGCAGTTCTGTATGGTCATCTGTGCAAAGTGGTTGGAAAGCTGCCTAAAAGTGAAGGCTGGGGGACTGCACCTGCTGTCCTCTTGATGGAGAAGACGTGTCGGGAGCCCACTGGCTTGGGAAGGAGGGGACACAAGTTTGCCAGAGGCGCAGCCGGTGCAAATGTCCTTGGGGAATGACGGAAACTCTTCTGAGATAGACGTTGGCTCCTGACCAGGGCATAAATGAGCATTGACAGATGCTGGTTCAGAAGCACCTTCTCCTCTGCCTCTGTCCTCCTGAGGATGCAGACGAATCGGTGCTAGTCTTTAATGGACTGACTTCTGCAATCACCCCATGGTAAATACATACCATACATAAATTTAAAGAAACATCAAAAGGATGAGTTCTATAAAGCCATTTAGTTATACCACTTAGCACAATGGATGGCCTTTGCTGAAAGTCCAAGGATGTCAGACCTTGAAGATGCAATCACTGCAGACTGAGAGATACTGAATGGCTTGCAGATATAATTTGCGACTCGGTGTCAGAGAGATGGCTATACAACAGGGACGGGGAACATTTTCCAGGCCAAGAGCCAAATTCCAGGCTGGGAAAGGTTTCAGGGGTTGCAGATTATCTGTGGGTGGGACCAAAGGCAGAGTAGGCAAATCCAAAATGTGATCATTACCTACTTGAAGCCTATTTGGAAGTAGGTCAAGGCTTCTCCATGTCTACTCAGAAGCAAGCATGAGAATCATACTCAGGATGCTGCATGTGCACTCACTGTAATGGGAAGCCATCAGGGATCTCCCTTCCCCCTGGACTGATTGCTCAGCAGCTTCTTCCCCAGATCCTTCCCTGCAGGGAAAAGCTCTTATCTTCATCAGCAGAAAATCAGAAAGAAGGACTTTTCCCTACTGGAAATGGGAAGGGGGCCTGGAGAAGAAGCTGTGGGCTGGATGAGGAACCCCACAGATATTTGGCCTTTGAGGGAGCTATCTGCACAAGGTTTAAATAGGATCATCCAACAGCACAGTTTTCGTTCCAGAACAAAAATTATCTATGTAATAAGAAGCATTAGCTATAGTGCACCAAGAGCAATTAGCTGAATTAGGCAATCCGTTTTTGAGGAGATATTGTAATGTCCAATAGATGCAAGAGTTTTAGCCAGATAAGAACCAGCCCAAGATCCATACATATGGCAGGGAGGTGTCCAAGCAACAATCCACTGATTAGACATTTTGTAATGGTACCCACTGCAGTTTTGCCAAGTCACAAATGTAATTTCCTGATCCTAAAAGGTCGGGGACCCCCGGCTACAAAGTGCAGCTGCGGGGGGGACCTCCTGAGGTTGTCTAGCCCTCAGCTCGGTGATCATTTAAGGCCCCATAGGAGAGCCTTCCCATGGATCCTCCAAGTGCAGAATCATTGGCTGTTGCTCAGCTAAAAACTGACCACACAAAAGAGAGAAAGAAAAGTGGGTCAACAACAGTGATTTTACAAGGATAAAACTGTATCCTTTTACAAGTGTAAGGATCAGAAAAAAGATGGATTCTGAAATACCAGAAAGGAACAAAGCAGATAGAACAAGTGAGAGATCCGTAGAAGTTTCTAGAAGGTAGTAAAGAGACAAAGGCTAGAAAAGACCTGAGGCACCCAAAATGGTGGTCAAAAAAGAACTGGGGGAAATGGCAGGAGCCCCTTCCCTGAATTATACCAGGAAGAGCGGGGAGGGCCCCCCAGCAGAATGAGTCTCACCAGGAAACTCTTCTTGATAACAGGCTGCCTGCAGGCGCAGGGCTCATATGTGTGATGCAGAAAGACCACAAAAAAGAATCAGAGAAAGGATGCTTCCTATAAGAATAGCAAGGATCACTTCAAGAATGCCTTTGTATCCATGAAGTGTTGGAAGTTTCTGTGCACACCATTTCTCAAGTCACATCCCCAGCAGCAAGTAGCTCTCGGTGATACTGATCAACACTGGTTGGACTTAGATAAGATATTGCCAAAAAGCATTGCTCATTATTTTAAAATGCAGCTTCTTGGCAATGCAAGAGTACATTCTCCTTGCGTTCACTAGAAGGGCAGCTTGTTATTCCCTGCCTCTTCTCAAGTCAGCTGAATCCTTTGAATGGAGAATGATTATTCTTCAGGACTGGTTGTATTTTAAACAACTCCTCCAACAGTTTTGTTTAGCTTTCATTATCACAAGATATGAGTTAAATAAAATGAAAGGATTAGACAAGCTGGAATGGGTTCAGAAGAAACAACAAAGACGGTCAGGACTATGGAAAACAAATCCAATGAGGAAAGGCAGAAGGATCTGGGCATGTTTAGCCTGGAGAAGGGTAGACTGAATAGGGTATATAACGCTATTGAAAGATGCTGGAGGGCTGCCACACAGAAGATGGCAAAGACCTGTTCTCCGCTGCCCGAAAGGGCAGGACTAAGCTGAACATGCATAGAGATTGTGGTTAAACGTTTACAAGAAGCATCTTAATAATAGCAGCAGTTTGACAATGGAACGGATTTCCTCGAGGCCTAGTGGGCTCCTCCTTGCTGGAAGTCTTCAAGCACAAGTTGGGCAGCCCTTTTGCTTTCGGTATGGATTTTCTACATGGAAAAGGAGGATGGACTGGATGGCATACAAGGTGCCCTCCAACACTTGATTGTAAAAACACTTAGACTTCTTCTCTAAGTCTTAACAACGAGCCAAAATGTCTAAATGGAACCTCTATTTCAAGGCAGCATTCCTTAGAAAAGGGGTGGGCAGAAGGTAAATCTCCACTTGTTTTGGATTTTACTGCCAAGCATTCCTGGCCACTGGCCATAGTGGCAGGGGCTCCTGGGAGCTGAAATCCAAAACATCTGGAGAGCCACCTTCTGCTCCCTCCTCTCTTAGATTAACAGGTGCTAGTGACAGAGCCCAGGGGAAGGAAACCAGCCTCAGGTCTTGCTGGTGAGCAGTCAGTGGCACCTTGACTTATTGTTGTTGGCCCCTTGATTTACTGTTCTTCTGAGACTGTTGCAAGACACATGTTGTTATGACTGCCATTAGCTGCCTTAGGAATCCCAATACAGGATGGAAATGTGAGATACACAATTCTTCAACAAACAGACAAGCAAATCTTGCTGGCTTCTGTTGAAAACAGAACCGCTGGACTAGATAGACTTTGACCTGAAAAGTAAATTCTTATATGGATTTGTTCTGAAAATGTCCATGTTTCAGAGATATATGACATTTCTGAACAATTGCTCTTTGAAAACCACGTATGACAAATCAAACATATTACCATCAGTAGCTTGAAGGCTGTATGTCAGGCCCAAGGCCAGGTAGCCCTTTGCTAGGAACTCCCCAGCATCTTCTCCCAGGCCGATCACCATCTTGGCAAAACGCTCCCCTTCTTCCAGCTGTTAGGATGAGCAAATGAAGAAGAGGGAAAACGTTATCAGAAAAGTAATTTGCAAGCAAATCCTTTCTCCTTGAAAACCACAAAAGTTCTAATCACATGGAATGAGCAGATTGGAAGCAAGCATTGTGGCTTCTTTTCTACAGAGAGATGCTGTAGTTCCTGCATGTCATGAGCGGAGCTGGCTGGAGCTGCGGGGTCAGACTAGATGGCCCGGGAGGCCACTTCTGACTCACTCAGTTTCTATGTTTCTATGTTTTCTGCCTGCTTGGAAGGTTTGTCCATGATCCCTGGATGCATGGAAAGGAGCCAACAGTGTCACAGCATAAATCAACGTTAGCACCATTCCAAAGGTGCTTGCTAGAGCAGTGGGTTTCTTAGGAAATTGGTTGCATCAGTAAGTAGAGTTTGCTTGCTCATTTGCTTGTTTAACTTCTATACCAATCCATAGCTGAAGCTCTCTGGGCAGTTCCGACCATACTGACATTGTACAAGAACTGTAACACCACGGGATCCTCCTCACTGGTGAAAGAAATAGGTTCTGCACCAGGGATGGCCTCAGTGGAACCCCCTTCTGTATGGCTTATCTTTTCACCACCCTTATCACCAACTACTGCTGCTCTTCCTTATTGTCACTAACACCTGCTTAATTGCCAGACAAGATAACCAACAAGCCAGCAGCTGGCAGCTGGGAGAAAGATCAGGTTGGTGGCAAAACAAAGAGAAGGAGCAGACCTGGGAAACTCTCGACTGCAGGCCTCCTGCTGGAGCATAGATCTGACAAGCGCTCAGTCATCCTGACCATAGAAGCACAGAGTTGGCAGGGATCTTGTCCAAACTGCTGCTCAATACAGGATTGCAGCTACAGCATCTCTCAAATATGGCCATCCAGCCTCTTCTTGAATATTGCCAGAGAGAAGCCCAATGCCTCCCAAATCTGGCTGTTCCACTATCACATGGCTCTTAGAAGTTTCTCCTAATGGTCAGCCAAAATCTGTCCCCTTGCAATTTCCACCTATTAGTTCTAATTCTTCTGGAGTGACAGAGCTCTGTCCTATCTTTTACATCACAGTCCATCTGATATTTAAAGAACCCAATATTCAAAAGCTCTGTTCTACAGAAGCTCAATGAATCCTCTCTTACATTGCGATCATTCCTACTCCTAAGGTTCCCAGGGTCTGACTTGGAGACAGTATTTAGATAGCCCTAAATGTTCCATGATTCCAGTGAGCCGTAATCTTTTTGTCCTTGTTCCATCAACAAACAACTGCTATTGCCAGCATCTCCAGGTAGGCAGGACAAGCTCCTGTCTGAAACTCTGGAGAGCCGTTCTTTGAATTCTTTCTGCCACCTCTTCCTGGTTCCTGCAGACCCAGGATAGGTTCTTTTTGGGGCTGGTCTTTAAGGTTAGTATTGTTAGATGATGTGTGGCATGATAGGTCACAATTTATGGCAAACTGCTTTACCTCCACTCCTGCTAACTTCCCATAATGGCAGGAAAAGTTTTTGTTTGTTTTGTTTTTTTAATGGCACATCTCCTAAGTTTAATTTTGCGGTCACTTCTGGAGTTAACATAGAAGTAAGAAGAACAAAGGTTGCAAACAGAGCACATTGTGGGATGTTCTAAAGCAAGGATGGGCAAGCTGCAGCACATGGCCTAATTTAAAAAATGCTCTGCAAATAGATCAGGGCAAGCCTCTGGAAAGAGTGATCTGCTCATCTTTCAGGAGCTCAGTCGGTGGGGAAGAAGCAGGGGCCATCAGAAATAGAGAAAAAGTGGGTGGCAGAGAGAGAGAGAGAAGGGGTGGGTGGCAAGAAGGAAGAGAGAGGGTGGTGGAGCGAAAGGACACACATATAGAAGGGATGACAGAAAACAAGGATGGAATGTAGGCGGAAAGGGTGGCAGAATAAAATGGGGAGAGGGGTAGCAGAAAGAAAGGGGGAGAGAGAAGGGGCAGCAGAAAGAGAGCGTGAAGTGCTGCAAACGAGAGACACGGAAAATGCTTGCAAGTCTCAAAGTATGTGCCTCATTACGTAGCTCACAGGACTGGCTGCAGGTCTTGTCAGCAATAATCAACAGTGTCAGCTCAGGGTTAACAGCCAGGCAGCAAAGCTTAGCATTATTAGAAGGATCCTGCTGCTTGGAGATGTTGATGAGAGGCTCAAGTTTTCTCTAATGGTTTTAGCTTGGAACCGAATCAGGATACACACAAATATTTAAGGACCTGATGAAAAGGCATTCTTGATGCCTAGCCTTGTCAATAACTCAGCAGTTTGGTTATCTCCTTCATCCTATAAAAGTTAAAAATAATTCAGTCTGAAAAAATGTGCTTGCCAGCTAGAAAGTAAAAATAAAAAACCCCATTCTGCAGAGCCCGTTTAGCATTACAGTCAGGAACAAAGAGCTCATATCATATTCAATCCAGTGTTCAAAAATGCTGTCAAATGTAAAACTGAATTAATGTGAGCCTATAGAAGCAATGCACCACAGGGGTGGAGGGACTGAGACCCAGGTTTAGTTGTCATGGACTTCAGCCAGTCTTACACTCTCCTTCAGACTAGCCAACCGCATGGGTCTGTCGTGAGGATATAATGAGGAAAAGGGACCTGTCTACCTTACTGAGCCCTTTGGATAAAGCCTGAGATAAAATATAATTAATGGCAATAGAATAAATATGAGATCACTCATCCAAACACACTAGCAGGTGCAATGAAAAGAAAAGCATGCAAATATAGGGCAGGGGCAGGGAGACAGTGAGTGCTTGCCCTCTGGACCGTGTTGATTTTGGTTTACCCATGCCGCTATGCTGAAACATGGTTCTTTGCTTTTCAGCAGGTGTTACGGAGGGTTGAGGAACTCCAGCTGCTGGACTAGGGCTGATGGGTCACAGGTTCACCACACTTGATACAGAACAAGAACAGCCCTAGACGCTCAACACAAAAGCTTCTTTAGTCCTCATCCTTTGTAGATAAGCTGTCAGGTCCTCTTTCCTGTCAAATACCTTTCTGATGCAAATTACAAACCAGGAAGCACTGACTGGGTTTCCATGACATGACAAGCAACCATTGATAAAAGGCCAGAGTTGCTTGTTGAGTCATACAAACCTAGTCATGAATAACAACTGTTGGTTATCATGGGTGGCAACCAGGACAAGCACCAATGTTTTTGTGTAGGGGTTTTTTGACCCTTGATGGATAGTTAGGTCATCAGAACCCAGAAAAGTGAACTGCCTGGCACTGGCAGCAAAATGCCCTCGCTGCTCTTGCCAAGCAGCTAGCCAGCCCCCACAGCTGCCAGCTGCCCCCTAGTGCCTAGGTGGCACCTGCGGATGGCCGTCAGACACTTCCTGCCCACCCTGGCAGCTGCTTCCAGCTGTTACAGGCAGTGGCAAAGAGTCCCCGCCAGCTGGATAAGTAGTGCTGGCAGCCACCCCCAAAGTGCCCACATAGCACTTGGAAGTGGCTGCCAGAAGTTTTGCCACCTCCACCCAGTGCCACCAACCCATGTCCAGAGCAGTGGCCCAGAACACAGAGGCCATCCCTTCCCAAACTGAGAAGCCTACCAAATCCCTCCCAAAGGGTGGGATCACTCTCTTAGCTGTGAGTTTCTTGGAGCACCACATGACCTTGTGTTTTTCCCCTCCCTTTTCATCTGACTCCTACATTTTGGGTCCCATAATTTCACCCCATTCCTCCTCTTCATTAGGAGCTACCCTCCAAGGGGTCTAAATTGGCTCCCCTCCAAAAGATTAGATGGCAGCTGGGTTTCTTCCTCTCTCTTTCCCTGTTATTCTCTCCGGTTTCCTGTTCCCACATTTATGGTGCCTCAACAACATTGCCCAGCTCCCCTTCTGAGCCAAAATTAGTTCCTGTGTCTTCTAGGAAACAAGGCTTGTGGTCCAATCCCTCCATTCTCAGCGGCCAACCAGCACCCGCAAAGAACCCTACGAAACAGGCACGAATGTAATAGCTCTCACTATTTTCGCTCTTTTGTTTCAGTGTGCTTATTGCCTTTGAACATGGAGATTCCATTTAGCAGGCATAACTAAGTGCCATCAATAGAATTATCTTCATTAATTGGTCTAATCTCCTTTTAATGGCATCTAAACGTAGTGGGGCTAGCCCAGGCTTCCTCAACCGAGCACCTTCCAGATGTGCTAGACTACAAATGCCACCACCATGTGGTGATGGAAGATCTAGTCCAACCCCCCCAGAGACTGCCAGGTTGGGGAAACTGAGGAAGCAGCTAACAATGTGAGCCAAGGATCTGGCCCTCTTCAGCTCTGATCTCCCCATAGCCATGAAGTCACCCCATTCGCTTGGCTTCTGCCCTGCCAGCTATAAAATGGGAATCGTCATACTACAAGATCTTGCAAAGATGACTGGAGACCATTTTCTACAGTCTGCAGAAGCAGGTGGTACAGCCTTCTCGAGACTACACCGCTCCAAGTGGGAGGATGGATTGCTCCCACAGTTTTTCTTAAACACCTCCCTGCCAGTGAAAATGAGCCCATCCAAAAGAGAGGGTCTCACTAAGCCCCCTCCTCAATGTTCTGGCTCCGGTACGAGAAAGAGAAATGGCATCTGGATGGAGGTGAAGGGGGTGAGGTCAAGGAAGGCCAGCAGCTAATGAGTGTGAGCCTGGCCGTGTCCAATTCAAACCTCGCAGTCATGAGGTCACCCTGTTGCCTTGGCTCTCTTGATGGCAGTTGTTGTGGTTAAATATTGGCAAGAAAGAGTTGGGAATTACTTGTGCTCCGGCAGAGTTTAGGAAGACAGTTTCTGCTTTCATCTCCATCAGTGGTGATATATGTGGAATAAGATGACTAAGGAGAGATTTTCAGATTCCAGGACAGAAAGCTGAAAGAAAATCCCGGGGTGGCAAAGAAGCCTCAGTCTATTTTAAAAGATTTGCTACCTCCAAGAGTTCTTTAACTTTCAGAGAGAGAGAGAGAGAGGGAATGAGAGAGAGGCCAAGTTGTCAAACATCTACTCAGTCAA